AAAAAAAAAAAAAGAAAAAAAAAGAAAAGTAAATTCATATATCCATGTTGTTCCAAACATACTAAAAGTGTTCCTTCCAATAAGTGAATTAAGTGTTAGTTTTAAATTTTAAATTAATAAAATTAAAAATTCAGGCTGGGTGCTGTGGCTTACACCTGTATCCTGGTTCTTTGGGAAGCCAAAGCAGGAGGATCAGTGGAGTTCAGGAGTTTGAGACCAGCTGAGAAGAGGGAGATCCCATCTCTACTAAAAATAGAAAAGCTAACAGGGTGTGTGTGTGGGGGGGGTGCTACTTGGGAGACTGAGATGGGAGGATCACTTGAGCCCAGAAGTTTGAGATTATAGTGAGCTATGATGATACCCTGGTGACAGAGCAAGACCCTGTCTCAAAAAAAAAAAAAAAAAAAAAAATTAAAAATTCAGTTCCTCAGTTGTACTCGCCATATTTTAAGTGCCTAATAGTCACATGTGGTGAATAACTACTGTATCTGACAGTGCATCTCTGGAGCTCTTTCTCCATATATATATATTTTGTTGTTGTTGTTGTTTTGGAGACAGAGCCTTACTTTGTCACCCTCAGTAGAGTGCTGTGGCATCACAGCTCACAGCCATCTCAAACTCTTGGGCTTAAGCGATTCTCTTGCCTCAGCCTCCCAAGTAGCTGGGACTACAGGTGCCTGTCACAATGCCCAGCTATTTTTAGAGATGAGGTTTCACTCTGGCTTAGGCTGGTCTCAAACCTGTGAGCTCAGGCAATCCACCTACCTTGGCCTCCCAAATGTTAGGATTACAGGCATGAGACACTGCACCTGGCCTCTTTCTCCATATTTTTTATTTTATTTTATTTTATTTATTTTAAGACAGTCTCACTATGTCGGCTGGTAGAATGTTGGGCGTCACAGGTCATAGAAACCTCAAATGCTTGGGCTTTAAGCAATTCTCTTGCCTCAGCCTCCCAGGCACCTGCTACAATGCCCAGCTATTTTTTTTTTTTTACTGCAGTTGTCATTGTTTTCTGAGTTTTCTGGGTTTTTTTCTGAGACAGAGTCTCACTTTGTCATTCTTGGTAGAGTGCTGTGGCGTCACAGCTCACACTAACCTCAAACTCTTGGCCTTAAGTGATTCTCTGGCCTTAGCCTTAGCCTCCCAAGTAGCTGGGACCACAGGTGCCTGCCACAACACTCAACTATTTTCTGTTGCAATTCTCATTGCTGTTTTAGCTGGCTGGGGCCGGGTTCAAACCTAACATCCTTGGTATATGGGGCCAGTGCCCTACCCGTGGAGCCACAGGCGCTGCCCTGTAGTTGTCACTGTTATTTAGCAGGCCCAGGCCAGGTTTAAACCCACCAGCCCTGGTGTACGTGGCTGGTGCCCTACCTGCTGAGCTATAAGTGCCGAACCATCTCTTTCTCCATATTTTAATCCATACAGCAGTACCCATAGGAGATAGCTAATATTATTTCCCATTTTATAATTGATGAGCTTAAGGAATTTACCCCAGGCCTCACAACCAGTAAGAGGCCAAAGCAACACAAACAAGCCTGCTCTTGGCTGGGAAATGGGCCTCAATGATGCTTGCCTCTCTGCATTAGTCAAAGAAGTTGCCTCAAAGTCTGACCCAGAATCATAGAGCAAGTTCCTGAGTGCTCCCTAACTTCCCACCCCTCTGAGAAGCTGGTCCAGAAGCCTTAGAATTATCTCTGGTGAGTAAGGGAAGCCCAAGCCCAGTTCCTTACCATCTCCATCCTTTTTCTGAGTTCCTTAACCTTACAGGTGACTCCAGTCAGGAAAGAGTCACAGGAGCAGGCTGCATCCCTAGAGGTGCAGCCAGCCCCTTCCCATCTTCTGTGTGAAGCCACTGGCATTTGTCCCCTTCTTACAATGTGTTGTAAAGAAACACCTTCTTGGGGCGGCGCCTGTGGCTCAAAGGAGTAGGGCACGGGACCCATATGCCGGAGTTGGTGGGTTCAAACCCAGCCCCAGCCAAAAACTGCAAAAAAAAAAGAAACACCTTCTTGCTGTTAGCCTAGTAGAGTGGAAAACAGCCACCATGGATCAAGTGTTTGCTACCATTAGGCTCTGTGCCCAGGGCTTTAGGTACATGACACTCCTAGAACATTCATACCAGTGGAATATCATGTGGCCCTTAAAGAGAATGAAGAAAAATGTCTGTATTCCATTAGTACTAACTTGAAAAAACAAGCTTAAGCCGGGTATTGGGGCTCATGCCTATAGCCCTAGCACTTTGGGAGGCTGAGACAGGAGGATTGCTTGAGGCACTAAGTTTGAGACCAGCCTGGGCAACACAGGGAAACCCCATCTCTACAAAAATTAGAAAAATTAGGCTCGGCACTCATAGCACAGTGGTTACTGCACCAGCCACCTACACCGAGGGTGGCAGCTTCAAACCTGGCCAGGCCAACTAAATAATTGCAATGGCTTGGCGCCTGTGGCTCAAGTGGCTAAGGCGCCAGCCACATATACCTAAGGTGGTGGGTTCTAATCCAGTCTGGGCCCGCCAAACAACAATGACAGCTGCAACTAAAAAATAGCCGAGCGTTGTGGTAGGCACTTGTGGTCCCAGCTACTTGGGAGGCTGAGGCAGGAGACTCGCTTGAGCCCAGGAGTTGGAGGTTGCTATGAGCTGTGATGCTACAGCACTCTACCCAGGGGGACAGATTGAGGCTCTGTCTCAAAAAAAAAAAAATTGCAACAAAAAAATAGCCAGGCATTGTGGCAGGCACCTATAGTCCCAGCAACTTTGGAGGCTGAGGCAAGAGAATCACTTAAGACCAAGAGTTTGAGGTTGCTGTGAGCTGTGACGTCATGGCATTCTACCAAGGACAACATCGTAAGACTATCTCAGAAAAAAACAAAACATGATACATCATAAGATCTCCTTTGTGTGTCTGTTTGTATATCATGCCAGCTTGCTCACAGAGATCTCTCAGTGTGGAGACTGGGGAGAACTTCCATTGTGTATTTTATATACTGTATTGCATATACAATAGAATCTCTGTAAGTGGTAACCCAAGGGATTGTAACTGGTCACATACAGAAGTGGACAGACACCACAAGGAACTAGGCCTACTGTGCTGATACGTTTATGTGGTACATGTCTATCTGTGAAAACTACCTCAATTTAAGGAGGTGGTCAGTGTAGGGACGTGGTCAGTGTGGGGACGTGGTCATCTATGGGGGTTTTCTTCTCCATAAGCATTTGTTCCTTTTTGAACTTTTAAAAAACTAATCTTGAATATATTTTTAAAGAAATAAAGGTTATTGTATCATTTAATCTTCAAATCACACCTAAAGAGGTACAATTACCCATGTTACAGATAGAAGACCTGAGGCTCTGAGAGACAGTGGGACTGGCCTGCCCTCCACTCCAGAGCTAGGAGGGGGCAAGGAGCCGGGGGTGGAAGCTGGACTGCCTGCTGACAGCATGCTCAATGATGACTGCACAAAGGAGGCCAAGGGCCTGGGGACCCGCCCAGCACATGCCTAGGCAGACTGACCTTGAGGTCCAGGTGCAAGATGTAGTGCTGGTGGAGGTGACGTACCCCCTCACAGATCTGCCTGGTGAACAAGGCCACGTCCAGCTCAGTCAGGTGGTACCTCTCATCCGTGATCCGGTCGAAGAGTTCACCCCCGTCCACGCTGCCAGAGCAAAAGGAGAGACACACAGCAGACTGAGCAAGGCTTTCAGAGGACTTGTCCACTGTCAACACCAGAAGCCAAAAGAAGCCATCCCAGGTAAGCCATGGACCACAGGACCACTGTCACTGGCACCTAGGATCTCACCAGGATCTGTGCTCTTGCTGACTCCCAGCAAAGGTTATGGGTGGTAAAAAGGAAGTGAAAGGCTGACAGGAAGACAGCACTGTTATTAATGCTGATAATCCAGGCTCATTCTGGATACTCTAGACTGGGGCTGCAAATTCACTTGCCAGTGGGGCCCATCTAGAACCTACAGGGCAGGAAGCTTAAGTGAGCAAATCAGACTATAAGTGAGGCAAAAGTTTTCTGAAAACACAGTCTTTTTTTTTTTTTTTTTTTGAGACAGAGCCTCAAGCTGTCCCCCTGGGTAGAGTGCCGTGGCATTACAGCTCACAGCAACCTCCAACTCTGGGCTCAAGCGAGTCTCCTGCCTCCGCCTCCCAAGTAGCTGGGACCACAGGCGCACGCCACAACGCCCGGCTATTTTTTGGTTGCAGCCGTCATTGTTGTTTGGCAGGTCCAGGCTGGGGATTCGAACCCGCCACCTTAGGTGTACGTGGCTGGCGCCTTAGCCAGTTGAGCCACAGGCGCCGAGCCTGAAAACACAGTCTTTAGCTTATCTTTTGTTTTTCTACTTTTGATAGTGACATGGCATGACAGATGTTTTGCTCTCCTCTGCTCCACCAGAAGGAACAGCAACCCGAGCACAAACATGAACAGCATCTAAGCCCTTGGCCTCAGGGCCAGTGGCAGTTGGGAGTGGTGGGGATTGTGGCAAAGGCAACCTGGTCACCTGGTTTTCAAAGATCAGCCACTGTGAGCCCACACACACCAATTCTGCTTGGATATGACTACATCTTTTACATTTTCATAAAAGCCAGATAGCTAGGTTTTAATGTGAAATTTGCCAGTTTCTAACTGTTAACAACTGATTCAAAATTACCAAAAATTGTATAGGCCAAATTGATATATATCTGCAGGTGACAGCAGGCTTACTGGCCAGTAGTTTCTTAAAATTGCTTTGTTGGCTCAGTGCCTGTGGCTCAAGTGGCTAAGGCACCAGCCACGTACACCTAAGGTGGTAGGTTCAAATCCCGCCTGGGCCCACCAAAACAACAATGACGGCTGCAACCAAAAAATTTCTAGGTGCTGTGGTGCAGGCCTGTGGTCCCAGTTACTTGGGAGGCTGAGGCAAGAGACTCGCTTGAGCCCAGGAGTTGGAGGTTGCTGTGAGCTGTGACACCATGGCACTTTACCCAGGGGGATAGCTTGAGGCTCTGTCTCAAAAAATAAATAAATAAATAAATAAATAAATAAATAAATAAAATTGTTTTGTCCTCCACACTCCATATTGGAGGTCAAGGAGCCATGGCAGAGAAGGTAGGATGACGGGACCCTGAGTGACCAGGGAGGGGAAGGGAGAGAATGAGCACAGACTGGCGTAAAGACTGTGAGCCCCAGCCCTGAGCCCAGTGTGGGCAGAAGCTGTGGTCCCCCTCACCCCAGACACTCACTATTCCATGACGAGGGTAAAGCTGTTTTTGCTCTCGAAGGCATCATAGAGCTGGATCAGGTTCACATGACTGAGCTGGTTCATGATATTGACCTCGTTCTTCACATCATCCTGAGACCCAGAGGGCAAAGGGGTTTCCAAGTGAAAGGGTCAGGAATTGGAGCCACCTGCACCTCCCAAGACAGAGTCTCACACACACACACACACCCTACTTGTCCTTTAATTTCTTATTCTCACACCACATCTCCTTGACCTACTACCTAACCCAGATTATTACAACACTTAGGTGACCCACCCACTTCACAGATAGAAAGCCTGAGACCCCAGAAAGAAAGGGCCTTGTTGCCCAGGGTCCTGTAGACACCTTGGCAGACCCTCCCCACCCACACTTGCATGCACACAGGTTAGGGCTGCAAAGGACTTGCTGATAGCACAGTGGGGGTCCTGGAGAAAAGGTGGGAAGGGCAGCAGGCTTCCTGCTCAGAGGCAGGGCCTAAGGGCCTGGAGGAAGTGAAGGAGTCTGGGTCTGGTCCGCCCAGAGCAGAAGCCTCACCCGGTCCTTAGCGCTCTTCACTTTGATGATCTTGGCCGCCAGGGGCAGGCCGGTGGACTGCTCTGTGCACCTGTGAACCTGGCCAAACCGGCCCCTGAGGAGACATGTTGACAGAGCAGGTTGAGAGCCCCACACTCCACACAGAGTAGCGCCCCATATCCTGGACTTCTTGTTCCTCCCTCTCCCACACACCATGTAGACCATGCCGACTCCTACAGCATCCTGTTACCACCTCCAACCATGCAGGCTGTCCCAAAACCCAGAAAGTAACTATTTAACCCCAGGCCATGTGGTCTATCCTATAACCTCCTCACACTATACCATGTGGGCTATCCCACCACATGGCCTATACCCCTCATTCACACCACATGGGCTATCCCACATTCCAGGGGATACCCCCTCACCCATACCACATGGGCTATCCCACACTATAGGAGATACCCCTCATTTACCACATGGACTTTCCTGCACCCCAGGGATACCTCTCATCTCACTCCACCCCTCACCCTACACCACATGGACTATCCTGTACCCCAAGGGATACCTCTCACCTCACTCCACCCCTCCCAAGCTATCCTGCACCTAGCAAATACCATTCCCATCTCTATGTCAGTTCCTGCCACCTCCCAGATGTGCCCCCCTAATCCACGCTGTGGGCTACTGAACCTCACCTTGCCCACACTTTCTTATCCCCTCCTTATCCCTCCTTATCCCATTTCTTTCTTCCCAAGAAATGGGAAGGCCAGCCAGGGAAGAGTTGTGTTTTGTTTTGTTTTGTTTTTGAGACAGAGTCTCACTTTGTTGCCCTTAGTAGAGTGCTGTAGCTCTGCTGTGGCTCCATCAGCCAGTTCTTGCGACACTCCCCAACCCCCCGGGGAGTGCCCAGCCTACTTCCCCAGATGAGTCTGCTCCACCATTCCTAGCCCCACCCTCAGCAAGGTAGGCAGCCCACCTACCCTCCCAAGACTTCGTGCCAGCACACTGTGTAGCCTGCTGAGACCGAGCTCTCCTTGACACTCACCATCCGGTGTTCAAAAGGAGCAGGTGGAGCCAGACCAGCATCTGTTCAAGGGACAACCAGGGACCTGTGAGCCTCCTATATGCAGCTTGTACCTCTCCCAGGATCCTCTCCTAGGATGCAGCCACCCATCCTAGGTCCGTGTAACTGCACTGGGTTCACCAGGCCCCTCAGACAGCTGGGAACTTGAAAGCCTTTGCTCAAGAATCAGCTCATTGGAGCCACCCACTTGGCAGAGGAGGAAGCTGAAAGAGGTGAGGTCACCCACTGGGCCAGGAACAGGTAACAGGTGGGATTCCAACCCAGGTCTCCCAGCACTAAGACCAGAGGCCTCTGCAAGGTTGAAAATTTCCAGTCTGGTCAGGAAGTTTGGAAGGGGACCTGACAGGGATCAATACATCTCGCAGGAAACAGGGCACATGTGGACAGGGTAATCAAGCAGTTTAACAAAGGGACTATTTTTAAAGGTGCTGTAAAGACAGGGCTGTGGAAACCAGCAAGGGCGGTGTGGGAGGGAGGTAGCTGGAGAAATAAATAGCCCACCCTCTCTCCTCTCCCCTAGTGTCCTGCCAGCAGGCCAGCAGATGCCCATCAGGAGCCAGAGGGTGGGAGAGCCCACCATGGGACTCCCTGTGGCTCAAATTAGGGACAGTGGAGAAGAAATGGGAAGGGCAGCAAGGGAAGAGTTGTGTTTTGTTGTTGTTTTTGAGACAGAGTCTCACTTTGTTGCCCTTAGTAGAGTGCCATAGCATCATACATCACTGCAACTTCAGACTTTTGGGTTCAAGTGATACTCTTGCCTCAGCTTCCCAAGTAGCTGGGATTACAGGCACCCTCCACACTCCTGGCTGTTTTTTAGAGACAAGGTCTCACTCTTGCTCAGGCTGATCTCAAGCTCCTGAGCTCAGGCAATCCACTCCCCTCACCCTCCTAGAGTATTGGCATCACAGATGTGAGCCACCATACCCAGAAGAGTTTTTAAAATGGGAAGGGAAGAGTTTTTTAAATGGTTTAAAGTTGTTTTATTTTAATGTGTCCTTCAGAGGTGATATAAATACATAGACTCATTACATGAAACAGAGAAAAGGAATAAAACAGAACCCAGACTGCACCAAACACATGGCATACAGCAGCTTGTGCTTTAAGGGCTGGAGCCTCTGTGGCGGGAAGTCCTGGTGTGGTTGGCATTTGTCCGGGCTTGTCGTGGTGGCATTCTGAGTTCTCCAGGAACAACTCTCCAACCAAGGAGGGTGTGACCCTAGAGCTGCAGGGATTCAGGACCACCCTGGGATGGCAGTCAGGTCAGTGGTCTCGCTACACCCCCCATTCCAGGTGGAGAACCAGTTTGCTGGGTGTGAATGGCTCACAGTGGTTCCACACATCAGTTCAGGCCTTTATTTTTTAACAGGCCTTTATTTTTATTTTATTTAACAGGCCTTTATTTTATTTAACAGGCCTTTATTTTATTTAACAGGCCTTTATTTTTCTTGTCTCCATCCAAAATGACACCAATGGGCTGTGGCTCACACTTATAATCTCTCTGGGAAGCCAAGGTGGGTGGATTCCTTGAGTTCAGGAGTTTGAGACCAGCCTGAACCCTGTAAGACCCCGTATCTGTGAAAAACTAGCCAGGTGTAGTGGCACATACTTGTAGTCCCAGCTACTTGGGAGGCTGAGGTAAGAGGATCACTTGAGCCCAGGAGTTTAAGGTTGCTGTGAGCTGTGATACTATAGCACTCTAGCCTGGGCAACAAAGTGAGACTCTGTCTAAAAAAAAAAGACACACCCCTGGTTGAAAGCTAGAAAGTCAGGTGGCTTTGAGAAATCTGCATACATCCCCCAACATCCCACAGCCAATCTGAGCTCAGCCCTCCCATCTCTGCACCTTGGTCTCCAGCCCTGGGATGGCCCAGCAGGCTATTCTTGAGTTTTAGACACCCCAGACCCCCCTTTTCTACCCTGGAAGCTGTAGTAAGGCCTCCTCACCAGGCCTCCAAACTCACCTTGGGATGCATATCTAGTGTAGCCAGACAACAGCCTCACTTACCCAGAGCCACATTGCCAGCTTCAGCACCCAGGGGCATCCTGCTTCCTGCCTCGGCTCTCCCTGTGCCCCCAGTCACACAGTCCTTCTCAGGGTCAGGGTTTCTTGCTTCCAGGCCTTTGTCCTGCTGCAGGTCCAGGGCGTCAGCAGCTTCATCTCTCCCGTCTCTCTCGACTAAGCTTGGTCCTACAGAGGGCTCAGCCTCAGGCCTGTGCATCTCCGCTCCCCCATGGCTGTTCCTCTTCTGCATTGGGGAGAACGCTCTGGCTCCTTGGGGGTTCTGTTCCCTCAACTGAGTCCCTGAAGCTTGAAGGCAGCACAGGAGCCCAGGTGGGTTCTGCTCACCTGGATGGGCAGTGGCTGGAGACTCTGTGGGGAGTGTGGGTGCAAAGCTGCCACCTGGGGTCACAAGCACCTCCTCAGGACTATCCATCTCTTGCATGTGGGTGGAAATCCTGGGACAGAGAGAAGTAACAGAGATAAGGTTAAAGGTAAGGACTTAGAGTCAGAGCAAACCTGGGTTCAAAGGCCTTCTACTGCTACCACTGACAGTGGCCTCTAGACTCAGTTTTCTCATCTATAAAATGGGGGCTCTCAGGTTGTTATAACAGTAAGAATTAGATTGGGGTTGGAATCAGCTGAACCTACCCCTTCCCCTCTATAACCCTGAACACCTTTGCCCAGACAGGTCACCAGCGGTGGAGTCAGCTTCAGTGAAAGGTGCCAGACGAGGGTCTGGAAGGGCTTGAGACAGCCTGAGGACCAGCACCTGTGAGGTCCCAAAAACCTGCTTCTGCCTCAGGCAGAAGACCTGGGCTCTTCTTGCCCTCCTCTGGGCCTCAGTTTTCCTTTCAGTTGAATAAAAGGAGGAGCCAAGGCAAACACACCACAGGCAGCTCCAGGTTAGGTGCATCTGGTTAAAATCAGGGCATTGTGGCTTAGCGCCTGTGGCTCAAGCAGCTAAGGCGCCAGCCATATACACCTGAGCTGGCAGATTCGAATCCAGCCTGGGCCCACCAAATAACAATGACAGCTGCAACCAAAAAATAGTCGGGTGTTGTGGCAGGTTCCTGTAGTCCCAGCTACTTGGGAGGCTGAGGCCAGATAATCACTGAGCCTAGGAGTGCAGGTTGCTGTGAGCTGTGATGCCACAGCACTCTACCCAGGGTGACAGCTTGAGGCTCTGTCTCAAAAAAAAAAAAAAAAAAAAAAATCAGGGAGTTGCTCCTAACAGACTGCATTTTCTGTCTCCCTTGAAGGAACAGAAAGCCAGTGATGCATGGCTGAAGAGCAGTTCCCCCTGCCACAGACCCCAGCAATACTACTGGGCCCACTTCATTCATTCCCAGCACCCAGGCCCATAGCACGAAGGTTTGTGACCCCAGCTGGAGGTCAGAAAGGCCCCCTGACCCTGATGTTCAGAAGAAAGGACCCTGGCCAGAACAACCAAGACCCCTCCCTCTCAGAGTTGCCTCCACCCTGAGGGTCCCTCAGTGGAGCATGGTTCTGAGGGGTCACAATCCCCCTGCCATGGGGCCTGTGTGTATTGGGGTGGTGAGGGTGATATGTGTGGCATGGACTGAGTCTTGGGAAAGAAGGCCTGTGGCCTCAATTCTGGTCTTATCTGCCATCGTTTGCTGGACAGTTTTGGACAAGTCCAGCCTTAGTTCTATTCTCTTTGGTAAACCAGGACTGGAAATGCTTTCTGCATATGCTGGGAGAGCCACTTATGAAAGGAAAGCACGAATGCAGAGTTTTAAAATCAAGGCTAGGTGTGGTGGCTCACTCCTGTGATCCCAGCACTCTGGGATGACGCGGGAGGAATGCTTAAGGCCAGGACTTCAAGACCAGTAGGAGTGAGGTCCCATCTCTACAAAAATAAGGAAAGACTAGCCAGGCACTGTGGCACGCACCTGTGTGCCAACTACTTGGGAGGCTGAGGCAGGAGGATGACTGGAGCCCAGAAGTTTGAGGTGGCTGTGAGCTAGGCTGATACGATACCATGGCATTCCAGCCTGGGCAACAGACAGACTTTGTCTCAAAAAAAAAGTGGCCATTGTGGTGGGTGTCTGTAGTCTCAGTGACTCAGGGGGCTGAGGTAAAAGAATCCCAAGAATTTGAGGTTGCTGTGAGCTGTGACAGCACAGCACTCACACACACACATACACCTACACACACACCCCAAAAGGTAAATTTTATGTAACATAAAAATAGAAAGAAATAGAAATGCCTTTCTTTCCCATGTATGTCTCCATCTCTGGACCTCTAAGGTACACCATCTCTGGGTGCTTCTGAAAGACTGGGCTGCCTGTCCACAGTCAAGCCCAGGAACCCCTCCAACACTGTGCCCATGGGGACTGAGGATGGGTTGGTGATGGCAGGTAGGATAGGAAGGATCCAAGCCAGCAGCTTGGCACCTGGCTCAGGCCTTGTCCCAGATGGGGGTGGACATGGGACACAGTAGCAAACCAGTTGCGGGGGAAGTATCCAAGCTGAGAAGTCTTGTGGTCACTGCTCCCGCAGGGTTGTCATATCCCTGGGTACATGGGTGACCCCAAGACACTGCCACACAGCTCCATGCCACTTGAGCACCCAAGGCTTCTCTCCTCTCTGCACAGTGTGCTCATGGTATATGCAGCTGGTCAACTTCCACACTGTACCTCCAAGCCCAGATGTGGCCTCAGGATCCCTGCATGGACAGCTGCTGCTCACCAGAGCTACTTGACTTCAAGACTGATTTTCCTAAAAATATACCTATGTCCTAGGTCATGACATCCCCACTTCCTGAGACCCAATGCAGTTCTGATGTTCCTGAAATTCACTCAGGGCTGCAACTGAGATCTAGATCTTTCCTTCTCACTCAGAATGTCTTTGGGGCCTCTCACGAGTTCATAGAAAGTTTACTCTCAGCCCCAGATTCCACATTTAAAGACCTGGCCTAGACCCAGGGCTGTCTGCCAGGAATCTCTCCCTCTGACTGCTTAGGTCTCTGTGAGGCTCCATTTCTTTCCTAAACAAAGGCAGACACACAATCTGGGCTTCTTGGCCAGTTGCCACAACAAACATGGACACCAGCTTCCCTCCCTGTGCGAGGTCTCAGGGTCTCAGTTATAGGTCAAGGGAGCTCAAGTCAGGCGCAGGGTACATCAGGCCCCCTCCTCACAGTGCCTGCTAGCACCACTGGGCGTCCTGGGAACTGGATGTGCTACCCCACAGGGCTGATGAATACAGGGATGAGGAGGGCTGGAGAGACAGGAGGTTCTCCATCATCCTACCCTGTGACTGTGGCACTGAAGCTGCTTCCTAAGAGTCAGGGCAGCCAGCATAGCCCTCCTGAAAGCCCCGTGGATTGACTCAGCCTACAGCATCTCCCACCTTCAAGTACCCCAGCCTTCTCTCCCCATCACTTTATTTCGGTCTTGATTATGTGGTGACCATAGGAGGCAGCGTGGTGCAGTGGTTGGGGACACATATTCTGGAGTCCAGAAACCTGGATTCAGATCCCAACTCTGCATCTTTAGCTCTGTAGCCCTGGAAGCCTAAGTGTCCCCACCAATAAAATGGGAACATGAACCACATTCACCTCCTGAGGATATTAGGAGAATATAACAGGTTGCCACTGGCAAGATGTTTGGCCCATGCCCAGCAGGTGCTCTGTGAGCCCAGTTTTAGGAATTACTGACCCAAGTGCCACTGGTTCTCAACTATGCTCCCCTTTGTCATCATCTTGGGAAAAAGTTAAAAATATCCAATGCCCAAGACTCATTCTACACCAAATAAATCAGAATCTCTAGTAACTTTTACTTTTTAAATTGTCCCCAGATGGTCTCTGTGCTTCTTGGTCTGTTTGTCCTGGCAATAGAGGCCCATTCACTGTCTGTGGTGGATGTGTACCGCCTTGTATACTTCCTTACTCTGTCAGCCTATCTTTCTCTTCTTCGCCTCACTTTGTTTCATTCTTGCCTTTAAAAATTAGATAAATAGGGCGGCGCCTGTGGCTCAGTGGGTAGGGCGCCAGCCCCATATACCAAAGGTGGTGGGTTTGAACGTGGCCCTGGCCAAAGTGCAACAAAAAATAGCCAGGCGTTGTGGCGGGTACCTGTAGTCCCAGCTACTTGGGAGGCTGAGGTGAGAGAATCGCCTTAACCCAGGAGTTGGAGGTTGCTGTGAGCTTTACTATGGGCAACAAAGTGAGACTCTGTCTCTACAAAAAAAAAAAAAAATTTAGATAAATATGGCTAGGCACCTGTAGCTCAGCAGCTAGGGCGCCAGTCACATACACGGGGTCTGGTGGGTTCAAACCCGACCCAGGCCTGCAACAAAAAAATAGCTGGGTGTTGTGATGGGTGCCTGTAGTTCCAGCTACTTGGGAGGCTGAGGCAAGAGAATCGCTTGAGCCCAAGAGTTGGAGGTTACTGTGAGCTGTGATGCAATAGCACTCTACCGAGGACAACATAGTGAGACTCTGTCTCAGAAAATAAAATAAAATAAAATAAAATAAAATAAATCCCCTCCAGATTATCTCTTGAGCGCAGGACTTCAGGAAATAGCCTGGACAATGATATCAAGACCCCATCTCAAAAAAAAAACAAAAAAAAAACCAATAGATAAATAGTAAATCCTTCCCTGCCAGGTAATTCTAGTGACCAACAGGGAGGATCAGTGCTCTAAGGTCCCAAACACACGGCCTAGGCATCCTCCTGTCTTCTCCTCACAAGGCCCGCCCAGCCCTGTGTACACAGTAGGCACTCAACATGTGTAGCCAGCCCACTGGCCATGCCCCAGCTGAGAGGCTGCAGTTCTTTCCTTCCCCTACCCAGCTGGGAAGAATGCTTCTTACCTTAGAGGTGTCTCTCCATCACTGGGAGCTGCCCTGGGCTGGGCTGACAGCCTTCGCGGCCCCTGACACAGGGGGCTGGGCCCTGACGTCAGCCTCATGCCCTCATCCAAGGGCTGAGGGGTGGGCCTGCTGGGTGCTCCTTGTCCTGCACTTGGTGCAACCTCCTGGCTGGCAGGGACCTCACTGACCCTGTTGGGTGCCCCAGACAATTCCAGGCCATTCCCAGGGCTTCTGCTGGAAGTCTCAGGAGCTTTGGCCTCAGCCTCTGTGGGGAGCAGTGATTGGCCAGGAGGCATCTGGCCTGGGCCAGGGACACCGTTTCCCTGCCCTGGTGCGGCCCCCACCTGGATGAGATCAGCTCCCATCCCTGAAGTGCTGATGGGAGGCAGCTGCTCCACTGCCCCCTCTGGCAGGTCAACCTTCTGGGTCTCTATGGGAAAACAGGCAGGATGACAATGCACTCCACGTGCAGGGCCCGTCATACAAGCAGCGCAAAGAGCATATGCAAAGCCACTAAGTGCACCGTGTTTATGACAGACAAAGACTGGAATCAACTCTCGTGGCCAACAGTGGGCCTGGCATCCAAACCATGGTGTGTCCCCACCAGGAGTGCTGCACAGCCATCAAGAAGCAGACGTTACTTTCTCTAGAGGCAGCTACAGAGTGATCTTAGGATATACTGGAAGTGGAAAAAAGCAAGGTGGAGAAAAACGTATCTGGTGTCCTGATTGCCTGAGAAAGGGGTGTGTGTGTGTGTGTGTGCACCTAAGCATATACCACGTACCATGTGGTCTAAACTGACTGGACTTCAAAGGAAAGGTTAGACAAAGCAATTTTAAATGGTCACATGTGGGTGGAGGAAACAGGGTGCAGGGAATGAGGACAGGAGCTGGCCTTCTCTTAAGATACTGTGTTTTGCCTATTTGACTTTGGAACCATGTAAATATTAGGCAAAATTATATATATATTTTGAGACAGAGTCTCACTTTGTCACCCTTGGTAGAGTGCTGTGGCATTAGAGCTCACAGCAGCCTCAGACTCCTGGGCTCAAGTGATCCTCCTGCCTCAGCCTCCCAAATAGCTGGGACTACAGGTGCCCACAACAACACCTGGCTAGTCATTCTATTTTTAGGAGAAATGGAGTTTCTCAGCTCTTGCTCAAGCTGCTTTTGAACTCCTGAGCTCAAGCAATCTACCTGTCTTAGCCTCTCAGAGTGCTAGGATTACAGATGTGAGCCACTGTACCCAGCCAATGCAAAATACATATTTATCAACTTTTATCAGTAAGACTTCTGGTCAACAGGAAGCTATTAGTAGTTATATTTAGTGGGGAGTCAAAAGTTATACATGAATTTTCAACTTCACAGGAGGTCGGTACCCCTAACCCCTGCATTGCTCAAGTGTCAACTGTACTCTGAGTGATTTCAAAACATGGCATTTGACTAGACATCTCTAGTGGGATATATGTAAAAGACTGTGAGGCTCTGGTGGGAGCAGGAGTTCAAGACCAGCCTGGGACACATATAAAGACCCCATCTCTGCAAAAATGTGTTTTTAGGCTCAGCACCCCATAGCACAGTGGTTACAGTGCCAGCAACATACACCAAAATGACGGGTTTAAACCTGGCTTGGGCCAGCTAAACAACTGCAACAAAAAAAATAGCTGGGTGTTGTGGTGGGTGCCTGTGGTCCCAGCTACTTGGGAGGCTGAGGCAAGAGAATTGCTTGAGCCCAAGAGTTGGAGGTTGCTGTGAGCTGTGATGTCATAGCACTCTACCCCAAGGGCGACATAGTGAGACTCTGTCTCACAAAAATTTTTGTTTTTAAATTACCCAAGTGTGGGCGTGGTGCCTGTGGCTCAAGCAGCTAAGGTGCCTGCCACATACACCTGAGCTGGCGGGTTTGAATCCAGCCCAGGCCTG